GGGGGTTAAATAGTGACAGGCTGGGATGTAGCACCTGGCACAAGTGTAAAATATAGACTGTAAACGCTTCCGGGAACTATAAACAAACGTCCCCCCCTTGCTAGAAAAGAAATCAGGAGCAATTGGACGTTTGCTTGCATTAAAAGCAGCTCGTAATCAGATGGTGTTTGAATGGGTGGCGTTAACAGTTACCTGCCCGGTGATGCCGGTGATAACAGCCACCTTCCTCTCCTTCTTCGGCTCTCCGTTCACCGCGGAGCTGACGGACGAAGGCTCGGAGCACTCGGCCATCTGTGACCGGCGGGATTCTTACAGTCCGTTGCCAAAACTGACCGACAAAAACCCGTCTGAGTGTTTTCAGTGTGAGTACCAAACGGCCCTCCTCAGCATCCGTAAACCAAAGTACACAACGCTGCGAATTGCGGTACGTAGCAGGAAGCGGCCGTGACACCAGCCAATGGGAAGAGAGCAGTGGAGGAGACTTCATTAAAGAGAGCAGAGTCTGGAGGTCGTTGGGCACAGCGCCGCCTAGAGGTTGGAGGGAGAAAGGCAGCTTTCTGTTTTACCTGACACAGTGTGTGGCTGTCTTACTTAAGTAGTACATCTCAAAGCAAATGCTTTCCATGTATGTATCCCTATGATCGCCTACAGTTAAAAGTATTTTTTTGTGGTTATTAAAAAAAACTGATGCAGATATAAATCTTCCATCCATCCATCCATCGTCAACCGCTTATCCTGCGTACTGGGTCGCAGGGGGGCTGTAGCCAATCCCTGCTTACATTGGGCGAAAGGCGGGGTACACCCTGGACAGGTCGCCAGTCCATCGCAGGGCCACACATACACATTCACACCTAAGGACAATTTCAGAGACACCAGTTCACGTAGCCTGCATGTCTTTGGACGGTGGGAGGATGCCGGAGCACCCACCACCATCATAAATCCCAATGTTTTTAGTTGTTTGAGTGCTTCTTGACCATTCATGATTACACTTTTGATATGAAATCAATTGGCCTTGGGTTAAGGCAGTGGGATTTTTTTTAAAGGTGCCATTGAATGAAAAACTTGTTCCTTAGCATAGATGAATAGAAAGAGTTCAGTACATGGAACTGACTGATACTGTGAGGGCCATTTTCATTTCAGCGCACCATCTTGAAGGTCATCTCAATTACTAAAATGTACCTCCAGGAGCGAGGAAGCACAAATTTAAATTAATCAGGTCGGGAGATGAAACTTCAACATCTCCAAGCAGCAGTGCAGCATCAACACATCAGACACACAGACAGGCAGAAGCCCCTCCCAGCCCCCTAATGAAAAAGACTAAAGCTACCTGTGCCACAAGTTTACAGCTAATTAGCCAAAAGCCAAAAAACAAATATAGTTAACTTGTGTCTTGCTGACATGCGTGATTCATGAACTATTGTAATAAGTTAGCTAAAGTTTAGCTAAGGCAATCATGGCCAACCAGGCTAATGTACTGTACCTCATGGAGACACTACAGGTGAATACAGTAAAATTTGTGTCTAATAATGTCAACACAGTTGCCACATTAATATACAAATTATTCGTTAACTAATTAAGATGCAATTACTGGCATACATTTGGCAAGGCTTTGCAGGTGAATTGAATAAACAAAATAACTGAACCTTATCACCACAGAACTTTCCCACTTAATGACTTACATCAAGAGTCTTCCCCCCATGAAATGTAATGTTTAAATATGCAGATTAACTTGTTTTGGTTAATTAAGAAGAAATCTACACGTGCAAACCAATGTACGGTAGAAGGCTTAAAACAAGCTTTCTTTCCATCAGAGTAAAAGAAGACATGAAAGCAAAATAGACACAAATCTAAAAATGAATGACTACATGACAAAAAGTGTCCTACCTTAAACAGTAACATCTTTATTTTTAATTGAAGGCTCCTCATCTGATAACTATCCATTCTACTAGTTTGTTTGTTCACCCCTCTGTTGAGAATAATAATTAGAGATATTTATTGTAAAGGGGAAGCAGGGAATGAAGATGGAGAGTGCTAAGATGTTTGTGGGGAAGGCAGAGGCCAGGGGGTAGTAAGCACTGGCTGAGGGAGAGCGTGGTCCTGAAGCACAAGTGAAGATGGGATTCAGGAGTAGAAACACACAACAAAATACTCACAAGCAAAACAAACACAAGAAGCGCTGAGAAGTATCTACCACAGTAGCTAACTGACCAATCTGAGGATAAGTGGGTGAAGAGGCAGTGTTGATGTACTGTAGACTGATGAGAACCAGGTGCTTGCAGACAGGGAGCCCAAAGAGGGAGCGTGGAGCTCGCCACTCCGACGTACAGACATAGAGAGAGAGAAACACACAAGGGAAGCAGGGGAAGGAAAATAAACCCAAATAAAAAAATGCACCATAAAATGTCATTACCCTGATAAACCTTCATGTAAATGTGGTTCAGTAAACATCCTGGTCAAACAACACAGAGTCTGATGGTTTCATATTATAAGGAAGTATGATACTTCCTCTCTTAGAGATGCATGTTAGTGGGCAGGCATTGTTCAAACCCACAGAACCATAGCTTTAATTTTAGTAAAGATCCCAAGATTTCTGAAAAACAAACAGACATGTCAACTTGAGAAATGGGAAAGGTTAGATAAAAAGGACAATGTGCCCATTTTCTGCCATGCTGAAGCACGGGTTTGATCATGCCCATCAAACAAACTGCAAGTATCATGGCTTTAAGTGTTCTAAAAATTAAATACAGAATATACTGCACATGATACTCTCATAAAAAGAGAAAAAAATGTATTTCAAGGGAATTTTAAGAGGAAAATCTGGGTTTCACTAGTAATTTTTGTTTTAGTATTGACCTGTGAATATACCAAAATAAACACAAGAACAGAACTGGATATATCGACCCTGACAGAGGAATTCATTTCACATCACTTGAGACACTATCTTAACACTCAGAGCAGCTCCTAATCTCTTATTATTCTTGAACATTTGAGTGTGTATCGCAACATCTGCTCCAGCTGAGAGTGTCAGTAGCACTGTGACTGCTCAACTTCCCAGAGTGCACAACATGATGGGAGGTGTGATTTCATTACAGTTTAAAGTAAACATCATCGTATAAAAAGTAAAAAAAAGCAAGTGCCTGGAGTCCTGAGAAGCACAGCAGTCTGCTCATCCAGCCTGCCTGATCAAAAGAGAACAACACACAGCTCTGTCAGAGCTCAGGGCACTTCTTCTTCTCTTCTCTTGTTTAAACGGCAGGTGTCTCGCTGTGTGTTTCGAGGTATTTGGCTCTCACTGTGTGTGCACTGCTGTGCGGAAACCTTCATCCATCACACATGGATAGTGTGTGGGAACACTAAAGAGTGCATGGTTAAGTTCAACTGAGAGAATAGGAGATGGATGAACAGCTGGCGATCAACCCAGGCATTACATTTGTGATCTTCAGGAAGATCCAAGTTGTTGTCCCCCTTGGCATTCACCCGCTCTTTCTGAAGTGTCCATGAGCCAGATTGAATCTACAAACAAACTGTGGAAAAGCAAGTTTCCCAAATGGGTCAGTAGCTAAATAAAGAAAAATGGCTCCTCTATTTCATGTCCCACAGCTCTGCTGATTTGACACTGACACACCCTGAGAAAGGAATGTTTGCCATCTTAAGCTCTGGTACAACCTGCTGGTTGAAACTATCTTGAACTCTGATTGCAGTGCCATTGAATTAATTGTATGTGTTCAAACATATGTTCACATGAGTGACAAATTAAAAGGAATGGAGAAACAATAAATGGAGATTCTATGCTATTATAGAGCTGATCAGTCCCAGTTGACCTTCATTTTGAATCAAGATAGCAAAAGTAAAATATTTTAGTAAGTTTATAAAAATAGTTCCATGAGAGTGGTTGGGCTGATGCTGATTGTCTGTGTTCACAGGTTGTCAGTGTCACATGCATATCCTCTATATAGGCTATACTGGGGAGGCTGACAAACCAAGACACAGGGCACCAGCAAACATTAAAAAGCACGAGAGAAGAAGAGGATCGATTACTCCTATCTGTCCTATCCTATATGCCCAAATGGTGAATGAAATGTGTCCCGTTATTTATGCTCCCGTTTCCATTACAACTAAACAAAAGGAACGTGTCTTAGTGTATTTTAACTGACTTCAGACCGAAATAAACAGATCTTGAGGTATTAAAATGAGATTGTGAAATGTTTTATTTTAATTAAATACATTTTGGTTGGGGCTGGATTTCATCTTCTCTTCCTGTTCCCAGAGCCCCTCACTAGCTTCAAAGGTCTGATTTACACTGATAATGTAAACCATGTAAACCTAGAAGTATAGCTCTTGGAAATTAAAAAAAATTCATTGTTGGGATGCTGATTAAAACTGTCTGCTGTTTCAGCATATCAAGTAAGGAGAGAAATGCCCTCATGTTTCTTTGTAAAAAGAACTTTTGTTCTCTTTCCTACACTTTCTTTGTCCCTCCCAAACCGGCAAAAATCCCTGCCTGTTTGCATTCACCATGCACAGAGAGTTTGTTTTTTAAGGCGAATGATAGTGAGGGGGACATAGTTGCAGCTGAAGTGATGATGAACCCACCAGCCGCTGCAGCTCCAGCAGTGTTGCAATAATCACTGGACATCCAACCATTCATACAGAGATTAAAACAGAACTTCTCAAGATGAGTCATCATCAATAATTAGATAGCTTCTGTCGATTCTTCTTGACAGATTTAATGTTAGTGTACAGGCAGGAATTGTGTCTAATACTGCTCTTCCGTTAATTACAGCTGTGATGATCGTCTATGATGATTATGCCTTCTTTTTTTTTAATGTTCTACTTTTATTCTTGAGGCAAGATGCCCATACAGAAAGTACTATTATTGCTATGGTACACAATTTCCAAATTAATTAATTGATTTACTGTTTATCTTTGGCAGGGATAGTGCACAATTAAAAGTAATTACACCACAGTTAGATATTAGCTGATTTATTATACATATAAATATTTGTTGTATTCTTCATTAGCCATTCATGTCATGCAGATTTCAACTTTTCTTCTTTTTTCAAAACGTATCTAAAATGCTGATATGAGAGTGTGGATGTGCATGGATATGAAACTTTCATACAAATTACCACATCATTTTTGTCCTGTGTTTTTATTTCCGAAGAAAGACATTCTTATAAACACTGCAAATGTTTTCTGTGTGCTTTATTTATTTGCTTGTTTATATTCTACATTTATTTATCTGTCTCAACATTACACAAGAAAACATGAAAAATGTATCATAAATTCAAATGAACAAGTATTCAAAATTACAAAGCTTTTCCATTTCCAAATGGAGCAGCCAACAACTGAGTGACGAATATTCATCCGACTTCCCATCTCTTAGAAAGAATGGGACAATAAAACACTGACTGATGTGCATAACTAAGTGAAATCCTGAAAAAAAATCCCATCTTGAATAAAAGCTTTGCACTTCAAGTACAGACTGGTGTTCAACCAGTAAATAAATGAACATAAGAATCCACTTTAGTCATAAATATGAATCATTCAAAGGTAGTATTCTGTTGTTCGTTATGCCTTCATGGAAGGTGAGAGGGCTACTCCAAACTGCCGAAGCGAAGGCGATCTAGTGGCATGAATGCATACAGAAGGCAATCCAGTCTACAGTGAAGGTGTACCAGAAATGTGGTCTGAATATGGCACTTTCTTTTCAGGTGAATGAGTGTATTCAGTGTTGTGTTATGTACAAAATAAATAAATAAAATTAATGTGTTGTGACGTCAACCTCAACTAAGTACAGCAAGTATTTTACTTTATGTTCAAGAAAGAATAACATTTTTATAAGACTTTAAAAGAAATTAAAAGAAAGAAAAAAATCTGTATTCACAAAAATATATTATTTAAATAACAACGTTCGGTTTATATTTTGTTTAAAGTTGTTTGCTAAATCTTGAAGAAATAGGCCAAAAAGTGCAACGCATGCAACAAACCAGGACAACATGACAATCTGGGCACTGTCAAAGGGAGAATAACAGCGATGGTAAACTGCTGATTTTCTTTACCTTTTCAGTGATACACATGGAAATTGTGTTGGAAGTGACAAGCAATTCAGGCTTTTAGTCTCTAATATTTTGGATACATCATTGCGGAACAGTTTGTTCTTTTACGCTACAATGACTGCACACCATTATAGAGCTAGAGAGGCCTCAGTGGTTCGGTCTGAGTTTTGTGCTGTGCAGGATAGTAACAATGCTAGTAAATGGTTTGTGCCTCGAAGGCACCATCTTTTTTTTTTCTACGGGCCTAACACTAGTCAGGTCAGAACTATAAGCTGCAGAGCTAAGCAAACATAAAGATGCGAGACAGAGAGTAGATATCCAGTAGCCATACAGGTACAGCAGCATTGGTCCAGTGTTGGGCTCCAGGGCCCTACATTGTCAAAAGGCATGCTGAGGGCCTCACAGTGTTTCTAGGAGGGAAACAGGAAAAAAAAATCAGGTTTTAAGTTCATAAGTTGTTAAGAATGTGGTTTTCTGTTCATGATTTTTATTGTTTTAGTCTGTTTCATGGGTTTGGTTTTGGGTTTTGTGTAAGTTTTATTGATCTTGTCATGTTTGGGGTTTTGTGTTTTGTAGCTTAGTTTAGTCTTTTGTTCATTCGCATGTTTAAATTAACTTAGTATCTGTCTTGTCTTTTATCTTAGTCCTGCGTTTTAGTTCTTTGTGTCAGTTCTTAGTCCTGTGCCTTAGTTCTTAGTCTTGTGCCTTAGTTCTTAGTCCTGTGCCTTAGTTCTTAGTCTTGTGCCTTAGTTCTTAGTCCTGTGCCTTAGTTCTTAGTCTTGTGCCTTAGTTCTTAGTCTTGTGCCTTAGTTCTTAGTCTTGTGCCTTAGTTCTTAGTCCTGTGCCTTAGTTCATGTTCTAGTAGTCTGTGTACTTCTGTGTTGGTTGTTATTTTGGTCTTGTCTGCTTTGTGTTCTGTTTATCCTAAATCTTAATCTGTTGTAGTTTATTTGTATTAAGTGTTGGTTTGTGTTCTCTATCTGGTGATTGTTTATTTGACAGTGTTTGGTTGTTATGTTTAGTTTGTCTTTTGGTGTTCAGTTATGTTTCTGCATTTTAGTCTGGTCCTGTCTGTTCCCCTCGTTTGGTTTCACCTGCCTGCCTGTGTCTGTGTCTAATTACCTGATGTGCCCCACCTGGTCTTGGTCCCGCCCTGCTTGTTACCTGATGTTTAAATGTTGGCTTGTTCTGTTCAGTCTTTGTGATGTCCTTGTCAATGTTGAGTGTTCTGCCTTGACCTGTAACTTGTTCCTAGTTTTTGGATTACCTTGGATATACTCTTTTGTTTGATTACCTTTGTTTGGACTTTTGCCCAGTGCTTTCATGTAAGCCTGTTTAGTTTGTTTTATTAAATCTTTATTTTTGAACTGCAAAATCCTTTGGGTCCACACCTAAGATTGCACTCAGCCTAACCATGACATAAATAATCAGATGGTGAAGAAACAATACTTTAGATTGACAAGTTAATCACCCATTAGGTTGGCTAATGGGAAAATATTAATCTTACCTTTCTGGCTCTCTTGAGAAGGAGCATGTGTGGAGTGGCATTTGTTTCTCTGCAGTGGGAGAGGATTCACTGAATTAGTGCATTGGAGCAAATATCAGTATGAAAACTGTATGTGTGCCCAGCTATTAGTACCTTTTTAAACTTATTTACAATTACTTTCACTGTGTTTTGTGACACACATTGTTCCAGAGGCCAAGGATGACCTTCCATGTTCACATCTGTAACTTTGCAACTGAACCATGTAAATTGAAATACACCTGAGACATGGTGTCTACACTAATACACCACTTTCAAATTCCAGTTCCTTTAAAAAAAGAAACTAAATTTCTAAAATGGTATTTAAATGTGAGGTTTTTTTTTAAGTAATTTGCAAATGTGTCATGTTCCATTGCATAATAACTTATCATGTTCTTAGCTCTGACCACAATAGCTTGAAAAGTGCATTATGGTGGTCTAAAATACAAAATGATCAGTACCTTCTGATTTAGTCGATAGTGCAGACTCTGGTCTGACAACCATGGGTGTCTGAGGGACTCTGCTGCACTCATCCTCCAGCTCTTGCTCTTCACCAGCAGAAGGGTGATGAAATCTTTGGCCTCGTCAGAAATGTCCGTAAACTCCTCCTCTTCAAAGTTCCACTGACAAGCCAGGATGTTGTTCAGTGTCTCGTTGTCGTCATCCCCCAGAAATGGAGACAAGCCACTGAGCCTGGACCAGGAAGAAAAACAGGTCAGGGGGTGCTTTTGAATCATTTTATATGTATGTGTGAATGAGCATCCACAACTCACAGCATGTAAGTGATGACGCCGAGGCTCCACATGTCCGTGGGGAATGAAACAAACTCATAGTTGATGACTTCAGGAGCTAAAAATTCAGGTGTTCCAAAGTTGACCCTCAGCTTCTCCCTCGGCTTATACCTGTCAGAGATGGAAACGTAAGAGATATGTCTCTGACTGAGATTGTCCCGTTATGAACGGTGAGGTGAACAAGCTGTTAATTGTAAATAGATGATAAATTTTACCTCCTGGCCAGACCAAAGTCAATGATTTTAATCTTGTTAGTAGCTCTGCTGACACAAAGAATGTTCTCTGGCTGGAAAAAAAAAACAAAAGAGAAGGATTACAATCACAATTCAGTTAAATTGCTGGTTTTGTATGTGGTTTCCTCCCTCTGGGATGAATATATCCAAGAGAAATAGTCATTAAAACAGGAGAGAAAACGTTTGCAAAAAAAGCGAGATTGAGCCATACACAAATACATTATAAGTAAGTGGGAAAACAACATTTTTGTAAGTTTTGGGTTGAAAAAGAGTAAATCTAAAAATGGGGGACATCTTTGCCAACAGTGCATGGCAAATATAACTCTGGTAATCCATTAATATGACAATGAGAGGCATCGCTGAGAATACAATATTAAAGCAGGTTTACCTTGAGGTCGAGATGTAGGATGTACATCTTATGCATGTACTGCAGCCCTTCACAGATCTGCCGTATGAACAGCACTGTGTCAAGCTCTGTCAGGTTGTAATTCTCATCGATGATGCGGTCAAACAGCTCCCCTCCCTCCACACTAAGGGCACAGAGGGAAGCACACACAATTGCAGCAAGAGCTGGTAACTTTGTTGTATTGACAAATGAGAACACATACTGTAAACCCACATGCATGCAGGTACACGGACTTACTATTCCATGACCAGGATGATGTCATGGCGCGACTCAAATGCGGCGTACAGCTGGATCAGGTTGGCGTGGTTCAGTTGGTTCATCACCTGGATCTCATTCCTCACCACCTCCTGAGAGACAGACAGACAGACCACGACAGAAACACGTAAGTCAATTAATACACATACAGTACAGAAGGGGTAAACACACAAATTGCTGGTAAACCATAGAAGTAGATTGCTGTATAGTGATTTCTTGTTTCTAAGTCATTTAGACTTTTATTAACGAGAAAACTGTTAACCAAGCACAAAACTGTAATCAGTCTGCAAGTCAAGATTTGAAAAAGTGCATGCAATTTGAAAACCAGAGATGAGTAGTGCTGGAAAAAAAATGTCGTGCGTTTAGACCCCGGCCTCAGAGTAACATCAGACTGGTCCCCAGTATGAGCCATTACCTTTTTTAAAATTTGTGGAAAAGCCGAAAGGATCTGAATCAAGCCCCCATAATATGGAGAATGGTGAAAATGTAATGATCTAAGACCTGGAATGAGCTTTACCGTCGTTTGCCATTTCTATGCAACTCCTGTTTAAAATAAAAGTCACTGTTGTTTGGAGTTTTCTTAAACTTCACGTTCATGTTTTCACTTTTATAAGAGGAGATGACCGTCTCCAGTAATGAAGGCAATTATTGTGTGAGCTACTGTTACTACAAACGGATTTCTCGAAGCTTTTTCAAAGTTAATGCTTTCCACAGACAAGCTACTGAAAAGAATGAGTGAATTATGAGGTGTTGTAGTTGCAGAAGTACCAGCTTCATTACTCTGGATTCAGACATTTTTAGCACTTTTTAGTAAAAAAATCAGCGTGTTGCAGGGGGATGACTTGAAAAAAGAGGATGCTGCCACTGGATAAATGAAGATCTGCTGGCACCAGGTGCTTGTTGCAGGCATACAGGCAGTCAGTCATTTTTGTCTGGGACGAACACAGACAGTAACATGAGCCAGCCAAGGATTTGGCTGTGTGTTTGGTGGGCTTTTGGTCGGCTCTGAGCTTTTTGAAACTCTCAGATGGTAATGTAACCACAGAGCTATACTCGGAAGTCTGACCTCTCTAACATCACTTTCGGATGATCCAAAGCAAGAAAGACACAATGAGGTAGACAACTTGCCAGATGCCCTGTGCTGCTGAGCTGTATTTATCTTTAAAATGTAATCCTTTATGGTGCTTGGCAATGATAAAAGTAACTATCCATTAGACTGGCTGGGGAAATAGGCATCCCAATGCCATTGCAGTACATGTATTGTGTTTCGTATTCAGCATTAGGCTTTCATTACTGCACCTTCTCTTTCTGGCTCCTCGCTTTGATGATCTTGGCAGCCAACATCAAACCAGACGAGTTCTCCATGCACTTGTGGACTTGTCCAAAACGTCCCCTAATGAAAGAAGAGCAAACACATAGATGAGCCAAACACATACATAGATTCTGGAGTAGAAGAAGTACCTTGCTTGAAATTTAATATTGTATCTATAAAATATGACTTATTCTAGCGCAAATTATCAACAATTAATTAATTAAATTTATTTTGGGTAATCATCATGATTTATCATGGTCAGATTTAATATAATGGCTGGTCCCAACATCTAAAACATATAAGTTTCTGCTTTTCTTTGCTTTATATCATTGTAAATGGAATATCTTTGGCTTGTCATACAAAATTTTAAGATGTAATTTTGGGCTCTGAAAACCTATTATTTTTACACTAAACAATAATCAATTGTTTTGTAAAATAAATATCTAAATAATAACAAATTAAGATTAATTGATAATGAAAATAATATTTAATTGCAGCTCTTACTTATATACATACTGTACATCATCATAATAAGCACCCTCAGTCACACAGTAATAAGGGCTGTGCCATTATGTCAGTAATTAGAAAAATGTGCTAGCGTGTTGAGGGATAATCTCCAGTTCGAGAGGCAGGATTTAGCACTAGTCTATTACATCAGAGAGGCCATCTACTTCACAAGTTCCCCGCCGAGGCTCACAATCATCTGCCCTTTAGGGGACAATAAAAAGGTATTGGAAAAAACTATTAGGCGTCTCTTCACAGGATGTTGGATCCTCTGTTATTTCATCAGAGAGGACTGATATGTTGAAGTGGCTGTCACTGAGTGAAATGAAAATAAACTTTTGAGAGCTGGGTGGTTCTCTTTTTACTTACCCTCCCAGGACCTCGTCCCTGTTGATGGTGTAATAGTTTGCTATCTGATGGGGTTTGGGAGTCACGATGCGGTGGTCAAAAGGTGCTAATGGAGGGGGGCTTGAGTCTGAAAAAACCATTAAGAAATATAGAAAAAATAAATAGAAATAAGAATTTGCTGTTGTTGAAAACAGAGAGTATGAAACAGAGGCAGAGGAAGAGGTCTCTACCCCCAGAAGCAAAACAAATCAAAATAGCAGCATGCCAATGTCTCATTATCTACTCTGCCAGCTGACATGTTAGTGACACTTGAACAGGCATGGTGTTATGACATTGGATCTGCTTCAAAGTCTGAGGAACGAAGAGTTAAATGTCACCAACCAACAAGTTGGGTCTCCATGGAGAGCCTGCTGCACATTAATATGGCACAAAGTGGATTCATGCCAAACAGAACCATAAACTGAATTTTTAAGGATTTGAATAACTCTAAATTTCTTAACTTCAAAATGAAAGTTGATGTAGTCTCTAATCAACTAATGATAATTTCCACACCCGATTCCCACCAAAATTGAAAGTCGACATATGATAACAAGTTACAAAAACCTCAATGTCCTTAATGGTAGCTACAGACCAGTTTTCTTGATATGTTCCTAATGCATTCATGCACTGTAAAAATATAACGTCTCACCAATGATAAACTTCTTCACATCAGACTCTCCCTCCTTCCCCTCTTCTTCCACTTCTGTCTTTCCTTCGTCAGATTTGGAGGCCTGTGGCTCTGCCCCCTCCACCACCTGCTCATCAGCATGTTCCACTTTACTGTCTTCTACTCTGCTTTTTTTGAGGTCGTCCTTCAACAGGTCTTCTTCTGTGACACGACGTTTGCTGCAAGTGGCCACATCGCCGACCTCCTCAGAGCTACACATGTTAAAAAAAGAACAATAAATACAGTACTGACAAACTTTGTGTGCAACAATAGCATGAGGCTGAATTGTGATTGGCCAGTACCTTTCCTGTGGTAGGACATCTGCGATGACCATTGGAGCCTTTTCAGATTTTGACGACTCTTCTGCCTCTCCTATATGCTTTTTCTTCCCATCATCCTGCACTTTTACAGCCTGTTCTGGACTAACATCTTCTCCCTTTTCTTCCCCTTCCTCGGACTCTGAATGCTCAAAAACATCCTCCTCTTCCTCTTTCTCCGTAGTTGCCTTCTTCCTCTCCTCTGACTGGGCAGCGGAGGCGTGTGGTCCATCCAGGATCAGCTCTGCAGGCTTCTGTCTTCTTCCTCCACTTCCCCTCTCCTCTCCCCTTTCATTGTCAGCCTCTGCTTTTCCATGGGAATGCTCAGTGTTCTGCCTGTTGAGCTTTTCCACCTGTTCCTGCAGCACTGGCTCATTTAGCGAGGACGTATCTGATGTGGGAAAAACAAAGCAAACAACCATGTAATCATGTAATATTTCTAACCATACGAACCAAGGATGACAGTGAATGTCCATATTACAGCAGACCGCTAAAATGGCCACGGGAAAGTATCGCCTAATACCGGTATTAGCTTATGTATTTTATATGTCAGCTGATGCCAAATGCCAAATTAAGTTTTCCAAAACAAACAAATCTAAGGTATGTGTATAAGGATTGTGTGTTTATGTTAGAAAAAATACTATTGGCTGATATATCATTAGATTAAAAGCAACAAATATTTATATTAGCTTTGAGATTCCAGTATTGGTCGTGCTATGGTGCATATCTATTCCAGCAGATCATCAAAGAACAAAGATACTGTGCACATCACTGCATAAACTCAGGTGACTGGAGATAAAGTGTTATTTCCGGTTTCACCCTACCTGACGTGTCAAGAGGTTTCCTCTTCTTCTGGGCCTTCAAGCCCTTCGGGGTAAGTTTGGCTTTATCCTTGTCATTATTTGCCTTATTGTAAAAAGGAGAAACAAAGATCAGTGGAACCACAAAGTGACAGGCATGGATAAAACTTGAACCAGGTTTAAAAGTCCAAACTCTGACAAGAGTTCTTATATTTTCAGCACTTCTTTTTCACTTGTCAAGTCGGTCAGAATCTGTGGTTACTGAGCAGGAAGTGTGATTTCTGATAGGAACAGCTTAGACATGTATGTGTTTCCATTTGAATAATAGTCAGACAGCAAGCCAAAGTCTTAGTTAGTGTGGGTTGCCCCTGTCACTAAAGTATTGATGTTCTCGGGGACAGAGGCCTCCAGGAAAGGTCACATATCATCTGTAGCAGAGAATGTACCACACAACACAGGAAATAGTTTTATTCACAATGATTAAAGGACATGATATAAGGCCAATATCAATAAAAGAAGTAAAGATATAGGAAAGAGGTTTAAGTGATCCCTGCTACCGTTTCTGCCATTTAATATGTCTGACAGAGGCTGTCTGGTGCAATAAATCTGTTTGCTTAACCACAAACCCATTCCTAATAACAGTTTTTGAATGAGCAGAATTCAAGTATATAAGATATTCAATCTCACACAGAAACATACACTGATATTCTGCAAAGACAGGGAAGTAAAAACTCTGCAACAGTCCCCAGTACATTCTTGATACCGCTTCAAGCATCAAGAATAATAAACATGCGCAATGTAACTCAGACTTTGTATGGCTTCATACAAGGATGCCAGCCCATGTGGTCAATTAATGCAGTAATGTCACCTAGTGCTAAACTGATCTTATGCAGCTGCAGTCCAACCCAACATTGATAAAGACATGGTTTGGATAAGATAACCATATTATCTCTAATCATTCACACCTCAGAGGCAAATGGCAGTCACTGCACAAAGGAACATTACTTAACATAACAGAGGCCAACATGTTAAAGGACAGCAGAGCTTATAATAGGTTTACAAGGAGCCATGTCAGAGCGAAGGGCAATGAACAGCAGTTTTACATGCTACATGTACTGTATGTATTTTACCTACAATATCTTAAGGTTTTAGAACTAGAGCTGGAGCTATTTATATTATTATTTATACAATTCCATCAAGAGGATGCCATTTGCAACCTTTCGCACAACACTTAATACATGTGCCACAATGTTCACAATGCAATTAGACCTCTTACTATGTTGCCGTTAATGACACAGCACCCAGTAATAGAACCACTGTGGGAACTATGCACTGCACTTTCCGATGCACGATGAGAACAGAAAAGAGGTGACAGTAAACTAGAAAACACATTTGAATTTGAAGATGTTGTGAGCCACTTCTTGCAGGAAAGCCTTGTTTGTAATGTTGTTAAACCTCTCACCTTCTTGTTAGCCTTGTTTCCAGACTCTTTAAACAGCAGCTCCACCAGCCTGGAGTTCTTCACCACCTCCCCAATGAAGCTGATCACCTGGTGGGTGCCCTCAACCAGCTTCTCCACCCCTTCCAACCTGCGTCCGTGACTCTCCATCCGCTCGCTGGTCCTCTCCACCGCCCCAAACAGTTCCCTGCACACCTCGAGCCCTGACCCACGTCTCCCCGCATAGCCCTCATCACGCATAGATGCCAGATCCTGGCCCATACCCCTGACATCCTGGGACAAGCCATCCAGCCGGGTCAAGACAGTCTGCTGCATGTTGAGCAAGCGCTCCATCTGAGAGCTCAGGGAGTCAATTCGGCTCTCCACATTGTGCAGGGTGGCATCATGAGGCGAGGAAGATGGTGATGAAGATGAAAAAGCTTGGGACTTCTCTGATCCATTAAGAGAGAGTTTCCTTCCACCAGGCTTCTGACCATGAAGAGGGTTTCGATCATAGACTTTGGCTAAAGAGTTGACAAGGCTGGAGCTCATGACTGATTTCAAGCAGACGTCTTCACAAACAGGAAAAACTTTTCACTCACAATTAAGTCCATTCACTTTCAAGCAGGTTCAATGGAAAAAACGACAAAAACCATATTACCAAGACAACGCTAAAGGCAGAAGAAAAGACTTGGAGGGAGAACAGAGAGCTCTCCCTCAACACTGCACCACAGAGTTGAGTTTTAAGAATAGCAAATGGCCGTCCTCCAAATTAAAGTGCAGCCCCCTGTGGATGTCAGGGACTGAGTGGCCAGTGATAAGAGCGGCGGGGTCGGGTGTTCAGTTGGGGATTGATGCGGGTTAGGGGGAGATTCTGCAGAGAATCGCTATGTGACATCTGAGACACTTCAAAAGCCCTTCAGTCAGGTGTTAGAATCCCAAGAATCCGGGACTGAAATATGACACCGTAAAAAGTAAGACAAACAAAAAAGATGTACAGCCAATAAAAGGAACAGAACAACACCAAATCTGATAATTAAGAACTGATTTCAGTAGATGTAGTAGTATGACTACACAATATATATAGCGCAACATGGATCCTATTTTAAGATTCTACGTGGAACTATATGGTTTTCACATTGTTCCACAATAGGAAGTGGGGTGACAGGTGCAAGCATGTGCAAGGCCTCAAAAATGTATTGACGACTTGGACCCCTGTTAATGACACAAGCATTGTGGGTATTTCTAAACCTCGTCAAATGCCACTCTGTTCTCAAAGTGTTTTACCTTGAGGATGCGTCAACATTGCATAATTGCCACAAAATCACAGGGCCTGGACTTTCTCACAAAATATATACAATTTGTATACTTACACAAATGTAAAGAACCAAACCCCACCCACTTTGTCTAACATTTTTGTAAATTAATTTTTATTATACCAGACCTCCCATAATTGGGGATACATTTTACCCCAAGCTTAAAAACTTTTTTTTTAACTAATCACATTTTAACAATCCCTAAATTGCAATTTTATTTTATTTCCTCTCTCAAGGAGGTTGTGTTTTTGGTGTGGTTTGTTTTTTTGTTTCTTTGTCAGGATTAAAATAAACTACTGGCCCCATTTTCATTATATTGTGGAAAGGTGTAACATGGGCCAAGGAAGAACCCATTAAATTTCAAAGCAGATCTGAATCACAGGGCAGATACAGTTTCGTTGACATAGCAAGATAAGTAAATTGTGAGCTGAGACGATGAGGCTTCAGCCAGGCACAACCATATTGTTACGTTCTGTAATTCTAACACTTTGTGTATATATAATATATCCAGACATATATAGTGGTTCATTTTATTATAGTTTATTTAATAAGGAACAAGTGCAAAACATGGACCAATGCTATATACCACATCAGTTGTAGCCTAAGCTAGTATCCAAGTTATATATATACCTATAGTTTTTGGTTAAATTTGTTTAAGGTTAGGCATGTAAATGAATGTGTAAATGAACATATGTAATTGTGAATTGTGTTTCAATGTTGGTAATTATGTTTTGGTTTTCTTGCTAATATTGCTGCTCATTTAAAATTCTGATAGAACCACATGTTTTTTAGATCCTGATTTCTTGTATTTCCAAAAACTGTGTTTTCCATGCAAAATGTACATAAAGCTCACTAAAGCATAAGGTTTTCCTTTTTTCACATTTTGAAAAAATGAACATGTTAAGGGGAAAAAAGGTTGGTTCACTTTGAGTCAGAAAGAGCCTGCAACGCTCCCAATATAGGCTCACAGACCATGCATCGTGAAGGACAAGACAACAGAAGAAAACAGGAAACAGGTGATACCACGGGCACCTTAGAACTGTTTATACAGAGAAGAAGAGGATTGTGCAAGAGGAAACTCGCTGCACATGTGTTGCTGAGAATTGAAGAGGATGAACTGACCCAGATGTATACATGGATACGACACATAAGTTGATAGTCATGTACAGACACAAACATTTGACACTTATTGAGACACGTCTGACTGTGCACATTGACCTAAAACTTTTCCAGTGGTATCTGGAGTAAGCAGGGTGACAAAGCGCTGGCGCCTATATACTGGCTCCCATCTGTCAACACCGGAAAAACCTGACCTATACTCTGTCCCTTGCACTGTTCCCAGTACAGACAGCTCCTCAGCTGTCAGGTTTAACACTCATATCTCCAGTGCCAATTTACCAGCTAAGGTGAGAATGAAAGGGGACACTGTGGAAGTCTAGAGTACAGTATATACTGTGGAAATGCATGTTTCTTCATGGAACAGACAGAAAAGATCAGAGCGAGAGACGGATGCAAGCCACAAACAGCTTTTTCTGCGCGTGATCCACAGACATCATTGTGAATAGGTTTACTGAAAAACCATTTTGACTGCCATTAGCCAGCTGACTGTTTCTCTCTTTATGACAAAGGAGGAAACGTCTCACATTGTGGTCTGTGGATCACTGCAAACAAACATATCAGTCTATGTAGAAAATACATTTGAAGGTAGTGGAATAAGCAATAAACACAAAATATTATCATATATAAAGTTGTTATGGAAAACATGTTAGTTAGAAGTTTCCTATTTACATATCTAGCAAGACACTTTGTTTGTTCAGGGCAGGTCTGTTTTAAGAGGTTTAGCCTGGAGCTGCTAAACTAGACTGATGCGAGCAGTGAGACTGAATCAAAACGAAAGGAAAGTTGTGGGCTGTAAAACCAAAACAACGAGCTGTATAGACACTGTATTCCTTTATCTCTGCAGTTCGTATCCATGGTACAAAAGTCATAAAAAGATCACGGGTGCCCCATATAGATTACAATGGAGAGGGACAAAGGAAACGCCTTCACTTCAACCTTATATCCATTGTTTTCTCACATCAGACTAGATTAGGTGTCTGATGACGTGTGATAGATGGCTGATAAAACTGATAAAACAATCCAGCAAAATAGAGGCTACAAAGAGGGATGAGGAGAAGAGCAATGTGGTGGTTGAGGAGTCTGAGACTGGTGTTGAGGCCAGTGGGAGGTTTAACTGTACCCTGTTGGACAATCTTTGAAATCCACAGTCAGAAAAGGTTACATGGTAACATGAGAGCCACTGTGGTAAAGAAGCACTGTTTAGGAATGAGAGTGACGCAGCCTCGCCACTCTCACCACATATAGAGTTACTCAGCAGGAAGACACGGACAATACACAATGCTTATTCTAGTGACAGACTGTCCAGTAATCCAGTATCAATCCAGTGCAATGACCTGAACAACATGAATGCAACAAGCTTCAGCCCAGAGCCCCAATAATAGACTGTGTGACATGCAACAAATGTGTGCCCTAGGGCTAATTAATGGCTGCTGTTGTGGTGAACTGAATCCACATTCAACAATAGTGTAGCTTGGCAAGCAAAAGTTGAAACGAAGGCAGAAGTGGAAAGTAACTAAATACGTTTACTCAAGTAATGTACACATTTTTAGAAAAGGATTGTGCTTCCGTTATCTGTCTGTCTTTTATAGAAATTATTTTGTATGCAGTCGATTGAAATCTTTAATTATGTAGATTCACCCTTAGAGCATTGATACCCAACCCTAAATGTGATACATTTTAGGGGACTGTTAACTCATGAGCAGAGGTGGAAGGTAACGAATCACAATTACTCACCTTACTGTAATTGAGTAGTTTATTTGTGTACTTGTACTTTTTGAAGTAGTTTTTTAAATCTGTAATTTTACTTTTACTTAAGTATGTTTTATTTAAAGTATTGTACTTTGCTACATTTTCAATCACATCGTTCCTGAGTAAAAAAAGTGCAAGGAAAAACTCGTGACCACTTTGGCTTCAAGAGAACAACAGCTTTATCATGCAGTGTAAGCTGTGAAAAAAATGTTGTATTAAGTTCCTGTTAATGCAAACTGAACATTTCCTGCTGCTGCAGCTTCACATTAAAAGCATTTAACTGGCGAAACGCAAGTTGACTGTTGTTTTGTTTTTGTTTTTGTTTATTTTATTTTGAAGTAGTTACAGGAAATGCAATCTGTTTGTAAGTGAGACCGCTCATTCACAAAAAATGCGTCTACTCATCAACCGTTGTTTTCAACATTTTTCTGACAGCGGACCAGTTGGAAATATTGCAGTGAGTAACGCAACAGTCAGGAGCAGACACAGAGAGCTGTTAGATAAAGAGCTGCATGCGGGAGGCTGCACACCTCCACACAACTCACACTTGCTGTTCACAGACTCATGCTGTGTGCAGCATAAATATGGAAAATACCAATAACTGCCGACAATAGTTTGTTTAGCTGGCCCAGACTTCTGTGCCCTGTGGTATTAAAAGGCATCTGTGCTGCACGCAGCTGCATAGCGTCAAAACCGGGTGATTAATATATCATGTCAATCAGAGTCACATTTAGGCTAAAATTACCGATTTTAACCATCACTACTCAGTGAACTGAGGAGTTTGCTAGTAACTAATTATTTACAACACTTATGATATCCCATTAAAATGACCACCTGTTTTAATTTAAATAGCCTGATGGTATGACTTCATAAACAGCCCAGTGTTTCCCATTTTCCCAGTCCAGTGCTGCCCGCCATAGGCTAATAATAATAATGAAGTGAAAACATTCTCAAAACTTCTCATTTTAACATAAAAGGTCTCAAACTTTGTTTTGCGCCGTTGATTTGGCGAAGTATCCGTCAAACAAACTAAAATCGAAAGCACTATATGGCTTTGTTCCCTTATCAAATCGCAAAAGAAGACAAAAAACAAGTAGGCCTATAATAAGATATTAAATCAATATAAATAGGCTATGTTGTTTTTGGAGGTTAAAAAGTTAACTGAGTAAATTTTAAATGAGCTACTTTTTACTTTTACTTGAGTACATTTTTATACAAGTAAATTTACCTGTACTCAAGTAAAACGTCATCAAAGTAACAGTACTTTTACTTAAGTAGAATATTTTGTACTCTTTCCACCTCTGCTCATGAGCTGAACCTGCACCTACACCTCAAAAAAGAGGCAGAGAACCAGGGCTGCCTAGTAATAGACTAGAAATTTTGGGCTGCCTGACAACAACTCAGTGACAGCTCTCTGATCTCTGGCATGTTCCAGGGCCCAGGTCCAGCTCTGGGGCCCCTGAATCATCCAGGGTTTCCCCTCATCTGGCATCCCTGCCCACAAAGCATTTACCATTCCATCATCATGGCTCACCCCAAACAGCCTCACTAAGACCATAAAGAATTGCAGTCG